TTCTACAGATTTATTAATTAGTTTTATAGTATGCTGATGTAGTGCACATTGTGGGTCTGTACATACTTTATTTATCATTCTGCCAGTTTTTATCCGAGTTGTGCCTCTTTGAAATAATAAGCCATATGTTGTCTGCATAACTCAAGCGTCCAGAAACTCAGCTGACACTCATTTCACCCTTAACTTGCCCACCTGTGCTCAATAATTAACAGACTTTTATGAAACTTGGATCACAAAACAATGACAGAACTGTACTGGTCTATTTTGGGGGGAGGGGGTTAGTATTTGAATACAATTCTGATTTTATACGGCCTGTTCAATCTAGGGAACTCTTTGGGAGGGTGAAAATTACCTGTCGTCTATAATGAGGGGTAACCATCGTATTAAGAATTTTCTTTTAAAAATTGAATAACAAACAGCATTTTGACTACTTCATTAACAGGTTGTTTATATATAGAGGCGTCACGATTCACCGTGAGGCACTTGTACCGCGATTATTTATGATTGATTCGATTCACTATATATTTTTCCGGATTTTCGATACGTCACGATCTGAATATTAGTGTATACCGCTTCAGCGGAAACATCTGTGAGACATTCAATTTCATTAGCTGATCTCTAAACCCTCAGCCAATCGGCTGCGAGGATACAATTTTCACAGTATTCATGACAAAATGGCAGACTGCAGTAAGGAAATGAAAATTTGTGATGATCCGACAAGCTTCAAATCAAAAGTGTAAAAACACTTCAGGTTCCCGTGTATTGACGGCTTATATATCTCATTTTGTTTATATTTTTAAATAAAGGTGTAGCGAATCAAAATAATCGAATCAAAATAATCGAATCGAGATATGTATCGAATTGTGGGTAAAGTGTATCGTGACAGCTCTATTATATATATACACTTTATATATAGAGGCGTCACGATTCACCGTGAGGCACTTGTACCGCGATTATTTATGATTGATTCGATTCACCATATATTTTTCCGGATTTTCGATACGTTACGATCTGAATATTAGTGTATACCGCTTCAGCGGAAACATCTGTGAGACATTCAATTTCATTAGCTGATCTCTAAACCCTCAGCCAATCGGCTGCGAGGATACAATTTTCACAAAGTATTCATGACAAAATGGCAGACTGCAGTAAGGAAATGAAAATTTGTGATGATCCGACAAGCTTCAAATCAAAAGTGTAAAAACACTTCAGGTTCCCGTGTATTGACGGCTTATATATCTCATTTTGTTTATATTTTTAAATAAATGTGTAGCGAATCAAAATAATCGAATCAAAATAATCGAATCGAGATATGTATCGAATTGTGGGGAAAGTGTATCGTGACAGCTCTATTATATATATAAACTGGGTTAGAATAGAATTCTCACAATTTTGTCAATATTGCATGCTTTTATAATGAAGGTGTAGCGAATCAAAATAATCGAATCAAAATAATCGAATCGAGATATGTATCGAATTGTGGGTAAAGTGTATCGTGACAGCTCTATTATATATATACACTTTATATATAGAGGCGTCACGATTCACCGTGAGGCACTTGTACCGCGATTATTTGTGTTTGATTCAATTCTCCATATATTTTTCCGGATTTTCGGTACGTCACGATCTGAATATTAGTGTATACCGCTTCAGCGGAAACATCTGTGAGACATTCAATTTCATTAGCTGATCTCTAAACCCTCAGCCAATCGGCTGCGAGGATACAATTTTCACAAAGTATTCATGACAAAATGGCAGACTGCAGTAAGGAAATGAAAATTTGTGATGATCCGACAAGCTTCAAATCAAAAGTGTAAAAACACTTATGGTTCCCGTGAAATGACAGCTTATATATCTCATTTTGTTTGTATTTATAAGCCAAAAAAAAAGTGTCTGTTTAGGGTTCCCGACCGACCCTGGCTTTTTACCCCCGACCCAAAACTTTTTGATGAAAAAAAAATAATTTAGAAGGTTTCTTGCCTTTCAAAATGGCTTCCAGCTCTGTGTTGGAGCTAAATGTCATCATATGGAGCACAAAGTGCCTCCAAATGAACCTTGTTTATGTAATTCTTTGTTTTACATACAATAGTGGGGTCATTATCACATGACCAAAAATACAAAAAAAAAAAAAAATCCGACCTACCAACTTCACTAGTGTTTTTTTGCCAATGCAACCCTAAACAGACTTCTTCTTTTTTTGGCCTAAATAAAGGTGTATCAAATCATGTGTTAAGTGTATCGTGACAGCTCTATTTATATATATATATACACTGGGTTAGAATGGAATTCTCACAATTTTGTCAATATTGCATGCTTTTATAATGCATTCTTGTGTACGGCTGGCCTAGATAAAGTGGGTCATATCAGGAAGGGATGAATGCAACATAAATAGTACAAGTCTTCTATGATGGTGGCTGCATTGCAGTTATTGGAGAAAGAATCGTTCTACAGATTTATTAATAAGTTTTATAGTATGCTGATGTAGTGCATATTGTGGGTCTGTACATACTTTATTTATCATTCTGCCAGTTTTTATCCGAGTTGTGCCTCTTTGAAATAATAAGCCATATGTTGTCTGCATAACTCGAGCGTCCAGAAACTCAGCTGACACTCATTTCACCCTTAACTTGCCCACCTGTGCTCAATAATTAACAGACTTTTATGAAACTTGGATCACAAAACAGTGACAGAACTGTACATGTTCATTTGTTTGGTCTATTTTGGGGGGAGGGGGTTAGTATTTGAATACAATTCTGATTTTATGCGGCCTGTTAAAGCTAAGGAACTCTTTGGGAGGGTGAAAATTACCTGTGGTCTATAATGAGGGGAAAGCATCGTAAAAGGATTTTCTTTTAAAAAATTGAATTTCAAACAGCATTTTGACTACTTCATTAACAAGTTGTTTATAGATATATACACTGGGTTAGAATAGAATTCTCACAATTTTGTCAATATTGCATGCTTTTATAATGCATTCTTGTGTACGGCTGGCCTAGATAAAGTGGGTCATATCAGGAAGGGATGAATGCAACGTCTTCTATGATGGTGGCTGCATTGCAGTTACTGGAGAAATAACTGTTCTACAGATTTATTAATTAGTTTCAAAGTATGCTGATTTTGGAACCGTATAAAAAGTGAGTTAATTTTGCGATCAATAATTGTCCAATCAATACAAGATCCTGGTATCTTTAAATATATGTAGATACTAGATAGCCATGGGAACACCACCTTGAAAAACATGAAAAGTTTCTTGTTTTCAAATTCAGCTGTTTACAGATTATGGTGCATCCTTAATATTTAAATCTGACTGAAATCAAATGTGTGATGTCAGGAAGGCTGAATTGCTGTTACTAGGGAAAGAATCAGATATTTGCTCTTTCTGGAATGCTACATGTATTTAGAAGTAAGGTCAACTTTTTACTAAGAATGCATGATGTCAAATATAATAATAATAATAATATACAGCATTTGATATAGCTCCCTATCTAGCTAACATAGGCCACTCTAAAGCGCTGTACAGTACATAGATATACAATTAACATAATTATCATACATTACTCGATACAATTTTGAGGAATTCACAGGAACTGCCGTTTCACACGCTAACTACAAGTCCTATGCCACCTGGCTTATATCTCCCTATGTGTATATACCTCGTGTGCTGGAGATGTAATGTGTTCTGTTTGTAGTGAGACTGTGCTTCCAACTGCATCATTTATAGTGCCACCTCACTTGAATGCTACAGCACAGATACCACAACATTCACCCCAGACCAATTTATACTCCACCTGGGTTGTTGGAGTTGTTGTTTTTCTCTGTTTACATCAGATTCCAAAAAGTAGCAAATATTTCCCATTATAGAGTAGTGAGGTCAGTGATTTTGTTTCTTTTCCGACATTTTCTACACATTGCAAGCTTACAATGCATTCTTGTGTACGGCTGGCCTAGATAAAGTGGGTCATATCAGGAAGGGCTGAATGCAACATTAAACTGAAAAATCTTTTTCTATAGTGATGGGATTCATTCCTGTTCACAGAGAGAGAATTGTTGGACAGATTTACATTTCTGTTGGTTCAGATTTAATAAATTATAGTGAAGGAATTTAACTAGTGACTTTATATCTACACAGGTGTTCACATCGTCAACTTGAGGCGGACCTGGGAAAAGCTGCTCTTGGCAGCCCGTGCCATCGCTGCTATTGAGAACCCAGCAGATGTCTGTGTGATTTCTGCCAGGCCCTACGGTCAAAGAGCTGTTCTTAAGTTTGCTTCTGCCACTGGAGCTACACCAATTGCTGGTAGATTCACACCTGGAACTTTCACCAATCAGATCCAGGTAAAATTGTAGGCAGCAATATTATGGAGCCCTAATTTACAATGATTTTATTATGATAAAAAATACTATGTAGTGTATATATTTCAAGATCAATGTTTTACAAATATTGAACTTGTAAAAAAATATTATTCCAACAGTAATCGTTGAACAGTGATCATAAAAGATAGGTCTGGCTGTGCAGTAATTGCTGAACAGTAGGGTACCTCCGACTACAATAAATCTACAACAGTTGCTTTACAGTGATCATTTATCACTTTTGGCAAGGTGTTCCAATAGATTTGTATAGTACTTTATATATAAAAGAGGATTAAATTGAAGTTTGGACACAATAGAAACTAGTCTTAAGACAGATGCACCAATACAATAATCTTCTAGCAAGTTTAGTAAACTTCTTTTTTTTCCAGTTCAGTTTGAGCATAATGATTTTGCTGTTTCACTCTTTAGGCTGCTTTCCGAGAGCCCCGTCTCCTGGTAGTGACTGATCCACGAACTGACCACCAGCCAGTAACTGAGGCATCCTATGTCAACATCCCAGTCATTGCACTGTGTAACACTGACTCTCCACTCAGACATGTGGATATTGCCATCCCTTGTAACAACAAGGTAATGCTACTGTAAAATTGGAGTAAACTGATTTTATAAACAAAATGCACAGGGTAATAAATCTCTATTGGGGGGGGGGGCATTGGATATGTGTTTTACTCGGATGCAGATATAGAATAATCAAAAACAATCAATTTTGCTGTGATGATTGTAGGGACCCCAGTCTATTGGTCTTATGTGGTGGCTGTTGGCCCGTGAGGTTCTGAGACTGCGAGGCACCATCAGCCGTGAACACCCGTGGGAAGTCATGGTCGACTTGTATTTCTACAGGGATCCAGAGGAGGTAAGCATTTATTAACCTTGTACAAATTCTACTCTAAAAGTTTATGTTGTGGTGATCCATCTGTCGTCATTGACATTTAATGACATCTCCCAAATTATCGAGCACACTTCGACAAAATTTTGACTTATTTTTCACACTTGAGAATATTAATAAATAAATGGGTTGAAAGGCATGCTCTAAAGGAGTGAAAGTTGAAAAGTGGCTAACTTGTTACAATCAAAATGTGATGTAATCCTCCTTAGCAATGAGATTGAGAGTTGTACAAATAGAGGAGCCAACACTCATTTGGGGGGCGAGAAGTGGGGTCGAAATATATTAGAACCTACTCAGCATTTTTTTGCGCGTTAAAAGAAACAGGCCGGTGTTAGGAGTACTGACATCATCTGGTAAGAGCAAAATTTTCAACATGTGATGCGAGTTTACAGGTACTTCAGTAAATCTTCTGCAAAAGTGGTTGTAGAGTTGTTTCCCTTAGTTTAAGAAACTTACTAGGATTACAGAAAATAAATTTACTAATGCAGGGCATCTTCCAGATAAGATACAAGTTATAGATAAAAAAATGTTTGGATTTTGTGTTTAATTGAAGATTTTTGGTACTTTTTAGGCCGAAAAGGAGGAACAGGCTGTGGAGAAGGCCCCAGCTGCCAAGGATGAGCAAGAACAGTGGATTGAGACCCAGGTGCCGATGCCTGCCCAGCCAGAGAGCATCAACGATTGGGCTGCTGAGGCTATACCTGTAACTGCACCTGCTTCTGCACCTGCTTTCGGCACCACTGAGGATTGGTCTGCTGCTACCACCCAGGACTGGTCAGCTGCTGCTCCAGGTGGTCCTGCTGCCGCCGCTGCCACCACCACTGGAGCCGCTGTTGTTGCTTCGGCCAAACCCCCTGGTACCATGGATGAATGGGGAGGTACTGCCGCTGACAACTGGGGATAAGCACCTGCCAAAGTGTACTAGGAGTCCACTCAGGTCAACAAAAGTGGGTTTGCTACAGACACTGAAAACAAAAATGTTCTCAAATAGAAGAAACACAAAAATAAATTTGTGAAGAATCATGATTTTATTTTGTTTATTTTGTACTGCAAGACTTGGGTGAATGATGTGCTTCCATGACATTTATAGTGTCTAAAGAAAAACTGTTTAGGCTTGTTATATTTATTTACTGTTATAATTTTGGCCGGAAGCATTTTTAGGTCACCCCAGACAATATTAAGGATTTGCTCTTCGTGGATGGAAAGGTCCTTTGTCAAAATTGTGAATTTCATTACCCCTAAGTCAACCATTCCACCAGGGGAGTGGGTAAAGTAAACTAGTTTATATAGGGAAAGAACACTTGCGGGTATATTTTGTTATTTTCAAAGGGAAATAATTCAAACTTTGTTGGTTGATTGTTTGCAAATTTAGAATTTCACTTACTTCCAGGGTCAAATTGGCAAAGAGTTCATCAATCGTCTTCTTCAAACCAATGAAATGCTAGAATTGAATTCTCTTAAGGGATGGAAATGTCCTAGAGTGCTTGATCAAACTTAAAATTTCTTCAAAGTTATTTTACTATTTATTTTCTGACAATTACCACTATATAGATATGTTTATCAATTTTTTATTATTATTTTTTTTTTTTTTTTTCAATTCAAGTTTATTCCGGGGGCGTTACGACCCATAGGCATACATAAATATAATACATAATATTGCATACATATGTGGAGAGTGATCTCTCATGACATGCATACAGAACGCAGAAAGTAACATATACATGTCTGTATACGATACACAAACAACATACTAACAGAGACGGGAGGTAACTCCTCGGCAATGTTATCTTGATTGCGATAACAAAATGCCAATTGTTACTAAGTTTAATGAATATACATTAGCAATAATACTTGTATTATACAGACACACACACACACACACACACACAGAAGTATAAGTAATAATTATTTTACCGTCTAGGCATGCTTTTCTTTGCATTCGAAATGATACATGAAATACATATGAAAGGTGTTTAAGGATAACATTCGCTTTTAGCCAAAGTATGTTTTTCTTTACTTAAGGACAGAATGCCAAGGTATACATGGTTACAAAACATACCTATTGCATATGTATTTGGAGAGTGATCTCGCATGACAAGCATACCGAACACAGAGTAGCATAAACATGTATGTATAAAATACATCATAAACATAATAGTACAAGAAAAATTAACTTGAGTTAAATTTAACTTAACAGACACATCCTGACGGAGATGAGCCAATATTACCTTGAATGGGATTACATTAGTGCTGAGTCAATCTACCACTTATGTACTACTTATTGATTAAGTTTAATAATACATATATGTTGTACAACATCAGCAATCATACTACTATTATACAGACAGACAGACAGAAGTAAAAGTAATAATTCGTTTTCAGCGATGTCATGCTTTTCTTAGAATTCGAAATATACCCGAAATACATATGTGTGGTATATAACGATAATATTCACTTTTAGCCAAAGTGCGTTTTTCTTTTCTTAAAGGCAAAATGAATATATTTTCCAAGATTATTTAGTTCCTTAACATTATTTATACTTAATAATTGCACAAGTTTGAGAACGATAGGTGATTTATAATAATACCTTTTAATATACCTTTCTCTAATTTCTATATAAAATGGACATTGCAGTTTATCACTCCCCACATCATTATGTTGGGGAATCCATCGTCAAAAAGCCATGTTTGGATTATGCATATTATTTTTGTCCCATCACAACATCAAATGATTATATTACAATTTCGTTGCCAGTTCAGGCCCAAAAAGTATCAATGTACACATATCAGAGATAGTGGGTCGTGAATATCGTATAGAACTGTAGCAATCTACACATGTCGGAGCTGGTGGGTCATGAATATCGTATAGAACTGTAGCAATCTACACATGTCGGGAGATAGTGGGTCGTTACTATCGTATAGAACTGTAGCAATCTACACATGTCGGGAGATAGTGGGTCGTTACTATCGCATAGAACTTGGTAGCAATCTACACATGTCGGAGATGGTGGGTCATGAATATCGTATAGAACTGTAGCAATCTACACATGTCGGGAGATAGTGGGTCGTTACTATCGTATAGAACTTGGTAGCAATCTACACATGTCGGAGATGGTGGGTCGTGAATATCGTATAGAACTTAGCAATCTACACATGTCGGAGATAGTGGGTCATGAATATCGTATAGAACTGTAGCAATCTACACATGTCGGAGATGGTGGGTCATGAATATCGTATAGAACTTAGCAATCTACACATGTCGGAGATAGTGGGTCATGAATATCGTATAGAACTGTAGCAATCTACACATGTCGGAGAAAGTGGGTCGTGAGTATCGTATAGAACTTGGTAGCAATCTACACATGTGGGGGGGGATAGTGGGTCGTGAATATCGTATAGAACTTTGTAGCAATCTACACATGTCGGAGATGGTGGGTCATGAATATCGTATAGAACTTAGCAATCTACACATGTCGGAGATAGTGGGGCATGAATATCGTATAGAACTGTAGCAATCTACACATGGCGGAGATGGTGGGTCGTTAATATCGTATAGACCTTGGTAGCAATCTACACATGTCGGAGATAGGGGGTCGTGAATATCGTATAGAACTTGGTAGCAATCTACACATGTGGGGGGGGATAGTGGGTCGTGAATATCGTATAGAACTGTAGCAATCTACACATGTCGGAGAGGGTGGGTCATGAATATGGTATAGAACTTAGCAATCTACACATGTCGGAGATAGTGGGGCATGAATATCGTATAGAACTGTAGCAATCTACACATGGCGGAGATGGTGGGTCGTGAATATCGTATAGAACTCTACACATGTCGGAGAAAGTGGGTCGTGAGGATCGTATAGAACTTGGTAGCAATCTACACATGTGGGGGGGGATAGTGGGTCGTGAATATCGTATAGAACTGTAGCAATCTACACATGGCGGAGATGGTGGGTCGTGAATATCGTATAGAACTCTACACATGTCGGAGAAAGTGGGTCGTGAGGATCGTATAGAACTTGGTAGCAATCTACACATGTGGGGGGGGATAGTGGGTCGTGAATATCGTATAGAACTTGGTAGAAATGTACACATGTCAGAGATAGTGGGTCGTGAATATCGTATAGAACCTGGTAGCAATCTACACATGTCGGGGGTAGTGGGTCGTGAATATCGTATAGAACTGTAGCAATCTACACATGGCGGAGATGGTGGGTCGTTAATATCGTATAGACCTTGGTAGCAATCTACACATGTCGGAGATAGGGGGTCGTGAATATCGTATAGAACTTGGTAGCAATGTACACATGTCGGAGATCGTATAGAACTGTAGCAATCTACACATGTCGGAGATAGTGGGTCATGAATATCGTAGAGAACTGTAGCAATCTACACATGTCGGAGAAAGTGGGTCGTGAGGATCGTATAGAACTTGGTAGCAATCTACACATGTCGGAGATGGTGGGTCATGAATATCGTATAGAACTGTGTAGCAATCTACACATGTCGGAGATAGTGGGTCGTGAATATCGTATAGATCTGTAGCAATCTACACATGTCGGGATAGTGGGTCGTTAATATAGTTTAGAACTCGAGTAATGTCCTACGTCACGTCATATCGGACGTATTTATGCTTACTTGGTAGCAATCTACACATGTCGGAGATGGTGGGTCGTTAATATCGTATAGAACTTGGTAGCTATGTACACATGTCGGAGATGGTGGGTCGTTAATATAGTATAGAACTCGAGTAATGTCCTACGTCACGTCATATCGGACGTATTTATGCTTACTACGGTAGGTAAATGAATACCATGTACACTCATCTAAATATACTGAACCCATAAATTTGTTGGATGTGGTGTTTGAACGAGTTTATCAGATCGGCTCACGACGCCGTCAAATGTACGTGTGCGAGACCACCTATGTGTGACTCGCTTATCAGACTGTTTTCTCAACGTCAATGGGTCATCCAATAAACTTGACCCCACTGTCCATTATTGTACAAGAATTGTTACACCTTTTGCCATCTGATCCTTGATAATTGACTTTACAACTTAGACAAAAGCATTAATTAACTCGCAGTCGTACAGGGCGCGCTGATCTGTGACTGCCCTGATTATGTTTACGCAATCAGTGTCAGCCACAATACACACGTGAGCTCATGTAGACGGATCGTTTTCTGGGACAAAGACTTAGAGGTCAATTTAGTAGCCACATCGATTTTTTAGTAGCCAATAAAAAATTAACTACTACTTTGGCTACCGACAGCGCGAGCCCTGTTAACGTGTCGGAGATAGTGGGTCGTTAATATCGTATAGAACTTGAACATTTACAATGACTGCTGGTAAGATGTCTGAACTACTTCATCGTTCCTGATTAAATACAAACAAGGTAAAGTTGCAGAAGTTAAGACAAATATTTGAAAAAAATACTCAAAGCAATTAAAACAGCATTAAAAGTGGTCGTCATTACGGTTATTTATCATATGTTTACTCAGAATATGAGTGTTTTTGCATATTTGATAACTTCTGACCACTCCTGATACCACTTCCGGTCACCCGTGTGATAAGTTTCTTGTAATGCACCCCCCATCGATAACAATTCTCGTAATACACCCCCTGTTCGGAACACCTCTACTTCTGTATTGGATATGGGAAGCGCCCGAAGCGTTCCGAGATTTGCGCTGTCAGTTGGTTTTTAAAGCTCAGGTGACCTATTGCTATCCGTTTTCGTCCGTCGTCGTCCGTCGTCCGTTAACATTTTACATTTCAAACTTAAAGTCAAGTTCTGCCGGGCAGATTGAACTGAAAGTTGGTAGGAATGATCGACTCATGGTCCTGACAAAGTGTTGTTATTTTTCGGGTCGATCAGAAATCCAATATGGCCGCCACGGCCGCCATTTTGAAAACCTATTTCAAACTTAAAGTCAAGTTCTGCT